TATGCAACGCTGAAATACAAGCAGCTACAACAACGTAACGGTATTTTAGTTGGAATTGTCGCATTTCTCCACTTTGTAAGTCAAATTAAATTATCATTGCCATGAAAACGAACTAAAATCGAGTTTCACCCATGTTTGATTAAAGAGAAATTGAATTTAGTACGTGCTCTCATGAATTCATTGAATTTGTCACATATGAATTTCATAAGGTGCAAAAGAAGTACAGAGAATTATGAACGTTAAAATCCATTAGGACTAGAGTGGAATAACGGCATGCATACATTATTATTATTATTATTATTATTGTTATTATTATTATTATTATTATTATTACTATTACTATTACTATTACTATTATTATTATTATTAATCATAACTATAATAATAGCAATTATGATAATACTAACAATAACAATAATAGTCATAATAGTAATACCAATAATAAAAACAGTAATATTAAAGCAATAATAGTAACAGTGTCTACCGGCATTCCCAAATTCAGGAATATTAAGCTCTTTCTCTCTCGGCTTTGGCATATGCTAAAATTGGCTGATGGGCAAAGTTTACTCGCCAGAAAAAGAAATGAAAAAAAGAATCGTTGTTAGAATAAGCTGCACAAACCTGTGAATTTCGATAGCCTGTGAAAAACAATACATTGCAGATTTGTGAAATCTATTCGTTGAAGAACACAGCCGAAATATTAACGGGCAAATCGCTGATGCCGCGGAATAAATGCCATCGTTCGGTTTTTCTGATGGGCTTATCATTTAATATGGCTGGCATAGCAATACTTTTTCTTGCTATCGATAGACTTATCGCTGTCGCATTACCTCTAACGTGAGTGTTGAGAAAATGAGAGTTAAGATCTTCGGGGCAATTTTGAATTTCTAGCAAGTTTGCAATAAGATTCCGCTACTTTACAATATTTTTATAATTCCTCTAGTTTACTTTATTTTATAATATTTTCATCATGGTGTTTTATAGTATATTCAATTATATTTCATAATGCTTCTATTGTTAAAAATTCGGGGATGATCTTTATGAAAATGAAGCAAGAACCCCGAATTCTTTATAGCTGCCGACACGATAATGCGTTTTTGCACAGACTAAAGGATGGTTTACAGTATAAATGGTCTTTTCTCTACAGTATGATTTGACACTGTTCTCACTGGTCCTTTTTTGAATGTGGCGAAGAACACACAAAAAAAGTACGAAGCAGCCAAACAGCTGATGTGCACCGATATTTGTTTGCTTCCCGAGAGCCTAGTTCATCTAAGTTTTTCCACGGCTGAGTAGATACAAAACAAGTGATCAATATGCTCGTTCGAAATTTTGAAGTTTTCTGACAAATTTGTTTTCTTTTTTATTTTTATTGCCTTCTGAATTTCAGTTACCGAACAATCAGAACTAAACGTTTCATTTTGCTAACACTTGCAGTCGGCTTTATCTATTCGGCACCAATCGTTATTACAGGTTTCTTAATTGCAGATAATACGGTAAGTGCGAAAAAACTGTTCAAGAAAAAAAGACATGGGATCCAATCAGCTAAAGCATTACCGTTTCTCAGCAAATAAATACAGCTATAACATGGATAATCATTGAATGCAGCTAGTTATGCGTTTTGGCATATATGCAAATTCAGAAGCGCATATTATGGCGACATTGATGTGTTTGTGTGTCTGTCTGTCCATATATTTAAACTCGGCAGCTAAGCAAGCTCCGGCGCTAAAATTTTGCCAGTGGGATCCCCGGCCAAGTGCCACTTTAGGACCGCAGTACCAGCCGTTAAGCATGTCTAAGTCCCGCGTACGAGCGCGTGAATGTTTTGGCAG